ATATAAATAAACGCGAGTGAGTCAGCGTTGAAACGTAAAATGGCGCCTCGCTATCTCGCGGTTGCGAAATCGGGGGAGGACGAGGGAAATCGCCGACTCGTGGCTCAACTTGCGACCGTACTTGCAGCTAACCGAGAAGAAAGGAATCACGATTCGCGACCAGGCCTCTGCTTTTACCGCCGCCTCTTCCGCCTTACTCTTTCTCTCTACCTCCGAGAAGCGCTTTAAGCTTTCGCCAATTACCCTAATGAGACAAGGAACAATGGCTAAAGTTTCAAAGAGAAAAACGCCACCTCCGCGCGGACGAGTCCGCCGACTCCGCGATTCGCATCGATGCCTGACCTACGGTCTCTCTTCGAGCTCTTCAAGGTGGCAACGATTAATCGGTGCGATTAATCTGCACGAAGATACATCTACCGGTTTAATCAATCGCTGTTGGGAAACTCTATTCAGCGTACGGCAAATGCACAAATTACGAGTCGTTAGGTGGGTAGTCACCTTTACTCCGCTCGAATTCGAGGGAAATTCTAACGAAATTCGATGCCTCTCCGATATTCGCTTTGGCCTGAATTATTCCGTGAATTGTGCCACGCGAGGATCGAGCGGCCTCACAGGATCGGGAAACGCGAGGAATGCTCGCACCAAGAGACAATTTCATTCGCGACTATTACGGCACGATCACAGGGCCGTGTAACTCGGGGCGACGTTTCGAGGTCCTGCTCGAAGGGAACGCGAGCCTCGTCCTCGCTCGATTTTATCTCCGTCCCCGGAAAACTCCGAGGAGATTCCGCGGATTCCCGAGGAACTCGGAAATCCGACGAGGAACAAATCGCAAATCTTGAACGGAATCCGCCGAGGAACGTTTTTCCCGGAACGTCTCGGGTCCGCTTTTGGACCTTGGAGATGCCCTGGTATGATGAAGAGTCCGTGATATTTAGTGCAGAAACTGGAGTTTGTAAAATTTCTACTGATTGCTACGAATGAAATTCCACAAGTGCGCGATATTTAGTGCAGAAACTTTAATTTATACCCTTTTTATTGATTTCTTTGGGTCCTGTTATTGGCTGACGCTGTTGGACTTTAATGAATAGGAATAATAATCTTTAGTACAGGAACTAGAGTTTATTAAATTTCTATTGATTCCTACGGCTAAAATTCCAAGAGCCAGCGACATTTATCGCAGGAACTGGCGTTAATAAAATTTCCACTGATTTTCACGGCTAAAATATCAAGAGCCAGCGGCATTTGTCGCAAGAACTGGCGTTAATAAAATTGCTACTAATTTCTACGTCTAAAATTCCAAGAGCTCCCGAGATCCTGGCGAGTCTCTCGCATGGTCCCATCATATGCATGTCCATCGCGCTAACTCGAAGAGGCTCGTCCGGATTTCGCGTTCCACGCCTGGTCGTGGAACAGTGAGAAGTAATTATAACTTGAGGAAGCTCCTTCGTCCGAGTGCGAGTCTTCGGGGGATGAAAGCGGAGGTGGTGTGCAGACTCGGGCGTTACCACCGAGAGGATTCATGCCGGCCCGCGCAATTTGCGGATGTTGCTGAATTAATGCAACCATGCTGTCGGTCCTGAAGTGCCAACATGATCGATAACTTCGACAGAAGCCACACCATCGTCGACCCCCTTTGATGTCGGGAGAGCCGGAGACGTCGGACGAGCACTCCTACTCCGGTCGACTCGACGAAGCTCTCGACGTATCCTGTAAATGAAGGAAATGATTTAATACAATTCAGCGACCGAAAACACACGAGTTCGCCACGCCGCGTCCTTCGCCTTTCCTTCCGTGTTTACACCCGCCACAATCTGAACAATTTAATCTAGAGCCTTTAAATTATTCCGCCAGCCGGGGTGCAGGAACGCGAGGTCACTCCGGTGCCCTCCTTTTCCCGGGTTTCCCATATTCAAGAGAAAATTCTACACGGTGGACCCGGCGAGACGAACCTAGTGGGGGATAAAGCTCTCTGGAAAATTAACGTGCCGCTAAACCTAATGGGTGTGTTCCGCGTTCCCGTTGTTTCCTTATCAATTTCCAGGAGGCACATCCGCCATATGAAACGAACATCTTCCACTCGGGGTAGCGGCAAAGCGAATGCCGCAAAAGAGAAGTTAAGTCCTCGGTAATCTCGTTTCGCTTATCCCAGCCTCCGCATCCCTGAAGAGCCGACTTTAAGGGTGGTCTGAAAAGAGCAAAAGTTTATTGGTACTTTCTATCCCGGGGAATGTTCATTCAAATCCCCGTTCGCTCGGGTACCTTTTACATGTAATATCTCCTGTAGGAGATCCGTTCTTATTCACCGAGACGATTCTTGAGGATGATTCTCGAATGAGAAAATGACGCTGGCTATGATTTCACGAGGAGTTAATTTCGACCGTATCTAAATAGCTTTTCTCTGGGGAAAGGTCGAGCTATTTTCTCTATGACCCAAACGGTTTCGCTAAGGATATCGATCGGCTATCTGCTCATGGATATGGATCCAAAGGCGGGTTAATAAATCCACGCCCTTAGGTGGGTGTGGACCCGCAAATTGTTTCTTGCCGAGGTCTCAGACCTGAGATACCTCGCGCAACGGTAATCATCGACACAACAATTATAACTGGCCGATCATATTGCCGAACATAAAACGCGATATTGAATTTTTAACATTTAATTTTTACATTTAATCTTCTTACTCTATGCTCACGCTTACCATTACGCGAGGTATTTGTGGGGTTTTAATATCGAGGCTTCACCGGACCGCCGCTTGTACACGGTTCGACGCCTCCTCCCCAAAAAGAGAGGAACTGCCCCGGCACTTCCGGAACGACACCTCGGAATTGCCATGACAAAAAACCCGATGCAGCCTCACACGGATCCGGAGACCCTGAGATCGCCGGCCGATCGACGACGTCCTCGATCGGCCGGTCGGAAAATGTCTCTCGGAGTTTAATCTCGAGCGCTGCTCGGCCAGGTATGAAGAGATCTCTCCTCGGGCTCGTTAGGCCGAGCATTAATAATGAATTTATTCATATGCTCGGCGGAACGTGGCCGGGGAACGCCGTCGATACGATTCCCTAGGCGCACTCCGCAGTGCTTAACTTCTTCTAGATAAGTCGCACGTAATCCTCGAAACTCGCAAATCCCACCTCTGCAAGTTGCACCCGAGGTGACTGCCCAAATAGACAGGTGGATATGTCTCCTTCCTGGGACCGGACGTTACGTGCAACGCGGTCGGGGAAAATCGCGCGGATGTGGACCATGAGACCCGACATGGAGCGACTGGGTGTTTTATTCACGCTTTAATTTTTTTAATGGAGACCTCCACTCGCGCGGGATTAGTCCTTTTTCTGGATAATGCGCGCGCGCGAGGAGCGTCTTCTCCGCGGAACGAGGACGGAAATAACGAGGTCGGTAACGACCGCCACAAGGAGCGCCTCAATCAAACGTCAACCCTTCGCATTGTGGCCTTCTGCGGTTCCGCGTGTGTGCTGGTTAGTCTGTGGCTTTCGAAGTTCTCTCGCGAAAGTGGGATTCACGATATTTCGGGCGTTAATCACCTCGCTCGCGGAATTAATTGAAGGAGTCTAATCGGCGCCCCTAAATCCGGATATCCGGAGCCGAGTTCACAATTATCAGCGAGTTGAAAAGATAGACTCAATTTTTTTCCTAAACGGTACGTAAAATGGAAATGTCTACGCTTCTTAAATCTACATCACTCGCATTCTCTCTTCTGATGGTTTTCTTCGACTCCTAAGAATTCGTCGATCAATCGATATCTTGTCTTGTTCAACGGTGTAAGAGCAGCGAAAGCGTTTCTCCTCGGAGCTGATCTCGGTACGGCCAGGGGTAGGAGAATTAGCAATGCAAATTCAATGTTGCACCAGTAAATTGACGAAGCTCCAGCCCAATTAAAGCCTTCCGAATCGCGAAGCCTGAGCTTCGTCTTCGTGTATCCACCCTCGTCGTCGAGGCACCCCGAAACCGCTCAACCACCTGACAACAAATTGGAGGAATTAACTTAAGGAAGGGGAAAAAAAAGTAGTGAAAAATCCCACCGCTCTCCCTATTATTCACAAGCCACACTTAATTGCCGTGGACGTCGAATAATCTACCGGCTTCTCGCAATTTAAATACCTCCCCTTAATTAACCCCTAAAAATCCGCCTCGTTGTTTGGATTGTATGTGCACTGGCCAGAGGCGCAAATTGCTTCCGAATCGCTCGGAGAGTAACAAAGGTCTCGGATCTCGCGGTGAGATCGTCGCGGGCGAATTCGTGCGCGAATCGCCGCAAAAGTGTGGACTAACTCGGCGGCGTTTCGAGGGCGGAATAAAAGAGTCGGCCGGCGGCTGTTTTAGGGGGATCCGGAACGAGGGATGGGGCGAGGGGTGCCCGAAACGACGGGAAGATGCAAATGCGTTACCGTAATTGCAATTTACATGTTTAGAAACCCCTTTGCATGCGATACGGGGCTTTCTCTTGGGTCCCGGGCTCGTTAGGTCGCCTCACGCGAGGACGCCGGGCACCCACTTCGTTCGGTGATAATTAAGCCTAAAAATAGAGCAGGCCTAACAATAATATCTGCATAATTGCAAGGGGGCGGTCCCGAGCTCTTTCGCGCGCCCCTCTTCCGGGCTTCGAGGAACTTCCCGACATTCGCGGAAAACGCGGAATCGCGAAGTCGCGAGAGCGAGCTGAATTCACCCCCTCGGGTGATCGAAGTTCCAGAATCGAGCGCTTCGACCCGGAGTCTACCAAAAACTTGGAGGAGAAGTTTGCCTCGCGACAAACGAACAACTTCGCCGCGCAGATCGTACCCGCGAATGCAAATTCCCCCTCCCGATGGTAAATATCCGAACGCGGAATATGTTGCGGTGACGTCGCGACGCTGGTAGTAGATGGATCGCAGGAAATGTGTTCCAAGATTCTCTCCCCAAGTTCCATGCGAAGTTGGCTCGCTCGCTTCGAGTGGAGGTGACCTACGAATAAAGAAATCATTTGCATTCTGTCGCAGGTGGATAACGCCGTGAACGAGCTGGAGGGCATAGACCTGTCGGACCCCGACCTGCACAAGGCCGCGACGAAGATCCAGGCGAGCTTCCGGGGGCATAAAGTTCGCCAGGAGGTGACCACAGTCCCAGGATCGGAGACCAAGAATTAGACGGGAGGTGGCGGAAGGGCGGCGCGATCGAACCTAATTCAATCGAGGACTCTATCGACCCGGGACGTGGGGATGATTCGTTTAGAGGGATGCAGGACGGGATCGAGATGTCGTTGAATTCATTTTCCTTTTTGCCCTCGAGATTCTTTCGGCCGAAAAACACCGAGGCCGGGCTCGTAGCGAAGACCGGCTGACGTTTTCTCGAAGGCGAACCGAGCGGGGGTGTTCGAAATTTTGGAACTACGAACGACTTTCGAACATCCCGTTCCTCCAAGGCGTTGGCTCGATTCGGCCGCGGGTAGCGGGAAAACGTCGAGAGGTCTTCGACTGCGGGACCCGGCTCGGGAATTAGTTGCCTCGTGGATTAGTTGCTCGGGAATTAAGTGCACCGAAACGGAGATAGCACCGCAAGACACGTGTATTCTCGTTTAACCTCCCGACGACGGACGGTCGTCCGCACAAAGTTTTACAAGCTATTCAACTTCAACGCTATACATTTTCGAGAGTGTAGGCAGTGAACCCTGATCACCAGTTGTAAGGATTCTGTCTGACATCGACCCCTTCCCGGGAACGCATACATGAATCGGGCATAAACCATCGGCGAAGTCCCACGGAAAAAAAATCGTAATATATATACATCAACGAGGTTAATTCATTAATCGCTCCTAGAGGGCCGGATTTAAGCGACGCGGAGTCATGCGCGAAACTGTACGAATTTATATTTCCGTGAAATTATCGACGAGTCGACTCGTCACCCAAAATGATCCGTTCGTCTAAAAATGTACCGTACACGTATGCCACGTATAAACGCATTCCCTCCTCGCCAGTTGCCGGGAGATTCCTCGAGTCCGGAAGGCAGCTTTGTCTGAAGACATCCGATAGGCGCGAGGCAACTGTGGAAAAATAAATTTGGGGAAAATCAAAGAACGGTCCCACCAACGTCGAGGCGGGACCAAGGCTCGCCGTGGTCTCGGTCGTCGGATCGTCCGGAAGCTGGAACGACTCGACGACCGAGACACCGGAAACTCTCGATAATCATCTGAAAGTTCTGGTTCTACCAGCTGTTCTTTTTGAATCTATTTAAAGGGATACAAAAGAAAAAAGGATCTCTTACCCTTTCGAATCCGAGGTTAAGCGTTGTCAAGAGCTTCGACTTTACGACGTTCCGATAAATAGGTCTTCGGACGTTCTCTCAAATACTTCGCGCGCTACACCTAGAAACGATTACTTAGTAATTAACCAGCCAAGAGCATGCTCTAAAGCGGTCGCATTTAACCGATAGACGTAACGAGGCATTTCGCATTGATCGGTAACCGTGGGAGCTCGTTCCACCGCGTAAACGATAATTCCCTTATTTTTCAACGACAAGATGCATATATATTTTTCTGCGTTAGGATTCCACGGTAAACGAGCAATTCCTAAGCTCGAATCGCGATCGCCGGAGTCATCCTGGTCGAGCTGCGAGTTTACACGAGTCGTGTCTTTCTCCATTTCGTCCTAGTCCCTTTGTTTGCGAAGATTCGTTGTAGGTATTGTTTTTAGCAGGCCTAAAAACTTTACGCGATATATTGCTCTCACCTTCGTTATCGATTATCGTCAATATCCCTTTTATTACCTATTATCGATATTATTGTTGCCTTCATATTCGCCGTGTTGTCACCAATTTGTTCTCCACGGTCGTTCACGTGTAAGCTGCATTTCGCCGTGTTGTCGCCAATTTGTTCTCCACGGTTGTTCACGTGTAAGCTGCATTTCGCCCCCTCGAGAGCACAACGTACCACGGGTCGACCTGGCGCACTTGCAGCCGCTGGAAACTGCGAAAGGTTATTATCGATATTAGGAAATGAACAAGCGACGTTTCGACTCGACAACGTACGAGCAAATGCCATTTCGGGTGTAGCCGTTTGCGAGATGTAAACCCAACTTGTCGACAGATCGATCCATACTCGAAACCGAATTCGAAGTAGAGAGCGAGGTGTTATAACCGTTTATTTTCAGATTACTTTGGATCATTTTGCAGACCGGGTTCGGAATGGAGGGTGAGCTGGATCAGCCATTAAGACGGATCCATTTTCGCAGCTTTAGTGTCGGTACCTTAGCGTACCTACTTTCCCCTATTCCTTGCCGTACAATCAACACCCTTTGTGACATCCGTTGACGGGATGCAAATGTCCAAAACTAATTCCAACGCAATCCTTTTTCTATTCCGAAACTGATCGACCTCGTAAATTGACCATTAATTAACTCAACGAGTTTCACCGAAGAGCTAACACATCCGTTGCGTACAATTCCCTCGAATGTCCCACACGGTACATCGAATTTCACGTAATGTTTAATTAATCGCCACCTCATGATTGAATAATTTATCGTGCGTGTCGTACCCCTGTACACATTGCTATCGATCTCGGATGGTAACGCGTCCGCAAAACTGACGTGGCCCGATCGCACACTATTATTCTGGAGTTTCGCGTTAACGTCTTTGTCTATTCATCATTTTCTCGCCGGTTTTCGACGGTGTCGACGTTGTCGAGGATACCTGCAGTTTGTTTGCTCGTACGTTTCACACGATGTATAACGAGTCCCGTGCGATATTTCGTTACACGTGACGTGCAGCGGCGCGCCTATGTAAATTATCGCACGCAGCACGTCGCCGTGTACATACATTTTCGCTGTACCGCAACTACGGCCCTGCTGTATGCGCGCTGTAAACCGGGACCGCGATATCACGGAGAACTTTAATTTCGCCGTAAAATCTCCTGGGCCTTCGATATTCGTTACCTTCGACCGACCCCACAGTGCGCAGCTCCTCTGTTCCTTCCCTTCGTTTCTTTCCTTTCTATTAAAAAATGATGAATTCCGTTCCGCTCCACACGTAGTCCCGAATATGAATATTAATTATTTATTCTCCATGTTGATTTCTCCGGGCATGTTCCTCTGGCTCCTTTTTTGTACCGACCATGATATTGGTTGCCTCGCGTGTATCCTGAAGAAAGGAGAAAATGTACCAACCACGGAATAAATTAGATTATATGTGCCCAAGGGACTTTACCGCAATGCGCATTAGCGTCGTACATACGTATTTAGGGGTGTACATATGCGACAGTTTTTTTTTCCTCTTCAAGACCTCTCCAGCCACACGTTTTACGACGATCGCTCTGCATTCCGAAGTTATTATGTAGATATATTCGAAAATAAGCTTGTAGACTTTTGGAGTACGACCGCCTCGCGGGCGGAAATCGTGCGGCGGATAGCGGACCTGTGGACATATTTTATCCTCCTTTATTTAATTTCCCCTTAGACATTTATCGAATAATGAATTGGCTAGTGATTACGCCTCTACTGTAAGGATAACGGCTAATTTATCGGCAGCTAGTTACTAATTTCTGCGGTTCGTAGTTGGCCGATTATTGATTAACAATCTCATTTGTAAGTGCATTACTTTCTCACGGTTCGGCTCTTTACGATAACGACTACGTCATAAGTATAAGAACACTTGTAACCTCTATTGCGCGGTCGGTCATACCGAGAAGTATAAAATCCGAGGTCGGCACAATGTCTCGCGATCAATCAATACAACTTTAATGGTGCGTTTATTGATAATCAATGTTTCCAATTTAGCAGGTACCTCGCAATCTACTTCTACTTGTGACTGTAGTTAATAAACAGTTACCAACTGCGGACGTCATCTGGAATTGGTACATCATCCTGAAAGTGCGGTATTACGTGAGAATTCGTGTCACCTTCGATAACGTAACGTTAATGGACCTTACCTTACGTCAGTCGATCCGTAAAGAACGTCGGCAACCCGCAAACGTCGCGAGAACTTCGAAAATACGCCGGATTTCGTATTTGATCCATTTGCAGCTTTTTAAGCATGAAAAGGGGAGAGCATAAGTTAGAGCAGGGATGCTCGGGGAATGCATTTCGATGTTCCTCAAAGAGAAACGGAGCGAGATGGTCTAGCGTTCCGAGCATTTGGGCAAACGCATTTCTCCCGTATAAGCAAGCAGTTTCTCCGATAAGAAATCCTTAACAATCCAACCGTAGTATATTTAGTCACGCACGAGGTGCCGAGACGTCATATTATAAGGGCGTAAGAAATAATTGTACCTTTAAACGAGCAGTATCGTGTATGTATTCCGTTTGTTTAAAATAAATGCCATCTAAACCTACCATCTGGTCGGGGTCGTTAACCGAGTTACTAGAAATCCAAAGAAATATTCCTTGTAAAATATCTTTCCTTCTCTAAAGGAACGCCTATATTTGAATAGATGCTGTTTTTATTATTTAATTCGACATTTTATGGTTTCTTCATCAATCGGAGTCAGAAATGAATTACAAAAGTTCGAATTGAATTCAATAGAGTAATGTACTTCGAAGACAGATTCGAGATATCGATTATAGACAAGTCGATTTAGTGCTGCCATCTGGTGGGGTGTCTGCGTACCTTATTTATGTATCATCTGCTGGTGCCTTAGTCGACATTTTCTTATCAAAAGGTATCTATATATTTTCAATTCGCTCTGATTTACCGACGTTATCTGAAAGCATACCTCATTAAATACCTTATGAGCAACGTTCATAGTCAAGTCTGATTGTTTTCATAACTCTTTTGAATTTGGAGGTTATGAATGATTAATAACTTCACTTGCCAGGTACGCTTCGGTGGCGTTTGTTTTCAATAGTGTACGTTTTCATACCGAGGTTGTATCAAAGGAGGATGAATGGGGCTTGGTAAATGTATCTGATTCAATACCGGTAATGGGGAAAAGGTATTTCTGCGATTATTGCGACAGGTCGTTCAAAGATGACCCGGAAGCAAGAAAGAAACACCTGTCAAGCTTACAACATGCCAAAAACCGGGCTGATCACTACAATCTGTATAAAGGTAAATTTTGCATAAGTATGTCCTGAGTAAGCAAATAACCATTTATAACCACTCTAGATCCTGAGACGATATTAAAAGAAGAGACCGCAAAGATACCGTGCAAGCGATTTATGACTTATGGGGACTGTGCCTTTGGAAATGGATGCAGATTCTCACATTACCCTCCGCCCTATATATGGGAATTGAGACGAATCGGTAAGTATTCTTGAGTAACTGTAAGCAGTAACAACGACGATACAGACAATCTCAACTCTTACAGTCGAATCAAAGAACCGATCCGCTGGATCAATAGGAGCAGGACCAAATCCTGACGACATCGTCAAGGAATTTTTTGAAACAACTTTGGACGAAAGCATCATCGAAGCGATCGACTGTCCAATCTGGACGATTCCTGCCGAATTCCATAATTATCCAAATCTGCCTCCGTCTTTACACCCAATTACACCAGAATCTATAACTAATTCAAATTTTGGAAAGTGGGGTTAACAATGTGATACGATTCATAAATATTCCTACAGCGTAACCTTGGAACCTCATTTATTGCGAATCGACACGTGTTGGAATTTTTGGCCATGCATCCCCTGCAATACTGTTATAGAATAAAGGTAGAAATCAAGGAAACATCTAGGGTAAATCTAATGATTCGAAAAGCCCGCCGATGCCAAAACCGAAGGGCTTGCGCGCCCTCAACCGACTCGCTGGTAAGATCCCACGTGACTTCGGTGGCGATTCGGCTAGCTTCGGGATTGGTCGGTAATTCTCGGGTGATGCCATCTGCCCTGTCGCGCTCGCCCCTCTTCCCTAGCCGGTCCTCTCTGGTTGGTCGGGGGGATCGGGGGCCGATCCGGCCTCGGCCAGCGCATACCGAAGCCGAGCCGCTCCATAGTGGTGTAGAGTTCGTGGCGACAACATCGCGGCGCGGTGGCGTCCATGCGACACCTCGAAACGAGACCAAGACGCGACCAAACAATTGGAAGTCGAACCAATCGGTGTGTCGTTCGATTATGAGATCTCCCTTGAGTCGCGAAGCATTCCCTCCGAAGGAAGTGCGGACACCGCGTCGGCGCGAGTGTTCGAAATAAGAAGCCCGGCAGGACGCCGCGCCGGCGCCGCGACGTCGGTTCTCCCCTGATCTGCGATCGGCCCGAAGAACTCCGCACGGTGAGTCCTCCATCGTTCTGGTACACCTAATTTTCGCAAAATCAAGGCGAGACCCGTCGCTCCTCGTATTTTCGCATTTTCACTTTAATCGACCATCGTCCGAAAGTGTCTCTCAGCGAACGCTGATCCCGCTTTGGCGGGAATTTGAACAGCGCGAACCCTTCTAACCTCCCGCGAGCCGCGCAGCGTCGAGCTTTAATCCGTGACTTAACCTACGCAGTTCCAGGGATCTTATCGCTGACTAATGCGATATCGACGCGTCCGATCGGGGCTAAGTGAAAGAAAAAAAAATACGCCGATTTTATTACCGAAGCTTAAATCCAGGGTCTTTGTCGACCGGCGAGAAGAAGCCGCGAAGTTCAGAGCTAATTGACCGGGTTAAGTTGCCTAATGGTTATTGTTGCTAACCGATGACGCGGCCCGCGTCGCAGTAGCGATTGTTTGGCGCGAGAATTGGAGTAATGTTCAATTTCCAATGATGGCACTTCGCTATAGTCGCGTCCGCGTCGTCGTATTCAAGTTTACCGTGGTTTAATTAATCGTAGGTGTATCTAATTTTAACCACAGGATTTTCTCATCTTGATTACGTTGGCAAGGGTATTGGCCGACTCGGGAAGGAACGCGCGGAGACCTTGGCTAGCGTCTTCGTTTCTTTCGCCGCTGTTTACGTCAGAATCCGTCACGTGGGATTCCGCCATACGCCGGTTTTTCATGCCGTACGCAATCGATTCCTATTGACTGTATTTTTCCGCCTTCCCTTTTCGCCAGCTCTCTTCATTGTTATCCCAAGTCGGGCTTACAAGTGGGAGCTGCGCGTCCACTGCGCAGAGGACACGTACAAAGGTGATTTCACTTTTTGACTTCCGGTCCCGGGAATACGACTCTGGCCAGACGAATACCCGACATCGAAAGCCGCCTTCGAATATTTCGATAAGCTAATGGCATTTAAACCATTTCCCTGAAAAATAGTCAGAGGTACGAGTGTTATCGCACCTCAAAGCTTTCTTCAATTAGTGCTCGTAGAAAATACCTTCACCGGTTTATCTCGGTAATTCTATAATTAATCTGGGACTAGGCTCAGGTAGAAACGTTATCAAGGCTGGAAATCGTCATCTTGGGTACGCTGTTACGCACTAACCGTATGTTTATTCACAATATCGCTCCCGATATCGAACCCCCTTTTGTTGGGCGTGATAAGGCGATCCCCCCGTAACTTTGATGACTTCCGGTTCTGAGGTAGAAAATATTTGGCCCAATGGGCATTTACCTTCATTTTTATACCCTCGCTTTTTAATTGCATTTAAGGTGTTATGAAAGGGTCATTTTATGTACATCGAAGCGTTAAAATATTTATAATCTGAGACCAATCATTTGAAACTTTGTCACGTGGTTATAGAGGCCTTAAGGAATAACGCGATGCTCGTGAAATTTCATTTAAAAGAGAATTTTTTTTATTTATCCCAGATTGGAGCCAAGAACACATTTTTTTTTTCTGATAAATGAAATTTCATGAGTATCGACTTCTTCCTTAACCCTTTGAGCGCTAAGCCCTTTCGGCGTATGGGCGAATTTCCTCAGGGCGTGCAAGCAATATTGGACCAAATGTCGGACGCACCTATAGGATCATAGCACTCATAGGGTTAAGAAATAATCACGTTCCGAAGTTTCAAATGATTCGGTGCCTCCAGTTTGGAGGAAAGTTTTATAAATCTTTTATTTTTATATGTATAGAATAACTGTTTCGTAGCACCTTAAGTGCGGAAAACTCGGACCGAGCTTTGGCATAGTGAACCAGGCTGAGGGGTTCTAGGCGATGCACGGCGGAGAATATTAATTATCGCTAATCTTTTTAGAGAAGTCGGTGGCGCGAAACGATTTCGCGATTTTAGAGGCTTCGAGTAATCCGGAGTAACCTGCGAGAAGCGACGTTTACGGCTGCCGTGCGTGTGGATTACAATCCACGCACGATGGCGAGCTCGAGAAGGCCTTGAGACTTCCAGGGGAGACGTCGAGCCGCTCTTGTGCCTCCACTCTTCTGTGGGTAAATTCAGCCTTGCCAGGGATCGGTCCGAAGAGGAAAGACACGGGTTTGCGATTCGGAGACGAGCTCGGCTCGCTTATCGCCGGTGTCATAGTTCATCCACGCGGAGCGCTTAACTCTTTGAGGCACGGTGGTATCAAAAGTGTCCCACCTTTATAATACGTGAATATCCACGGTGGGACAGTTTTTGACCCACCTCGAAATATTCCAATTGCTACGTGCACATGGGTTTATATTTTGTCTCACTTACGTAAAGTAGGTGGCAATACTATCAATAAATGTTATTAATGTGTTCGCTTGTGGTAGCAAGGTTCGAGATGTCATGTACAGGTTCATTAGCTGTTGGAAACGGAAGTTTTTATTGCATTTGAAGTTTCTTGGGTTTTTATTGCTCGTAGACGATGTGCGCTTTGTAGTACCCAAGACAAAAAATTAAGTTCGCACATCGTGTTCTTGTACTGTATGCAAAGTGACTCTGCGCCTTGGGAAAAGGATGTGTTTTGATAAGTACCATTCATGAACCCACGTGGCACGGTGGGACTATTCGAGTCCCACCTTATAATAACAAACTTAATTGAATTATTATCATTTTTTTTTATGTTTTTATATTATGTCATTCCTTTATTAATAGAAGTAAACCAACTTTGTTCGATTTAAAAGGAAATACAGTTTCCTGTGCAATGTGAGCCTTTTTATTTTCTAAAATTCCGTGCCTCAAAGGATTAAAAGGCGACGCGACTTCCACCGAAATCCTGGCGCGCGAATTCGCCAGGAAGTCGCGCCGCATTTCGAAACGACTCTTCATAGGCGCCGTTGTGGACAATTTTCTAGGAATGTAGCTTGAAATGCAACTAACCTTGAAATCGAGCGATAAGAGGCGCGGTCAGGTCGGAAAGGCAATCGGTGCACCACCGTAATGATAATTCCCTTCGTAACCAATAATTGTTAAAAAGATCGTAGGATTCCACGATGACGAGAGGAGGAAAAAAAATAGGCGAATCGAAAAAATTCCCGCGATCTCTCCCAAATCGTCGTAATCATAATTCGCTTCGCAGCCGATGAGTAATTAAGACGATAACCGACTTCGCACCTGCGGAAACAGGAAGAAATATGCACGAGGTGGAGGGAACCGCGAGTCGTCCCAGTGCACTCGATAATTTATTACTTATTGCAGTTGAGGAATTCTCATTTATCAACTCTTGGAGCAACTAAATAGCAACAAAATCTTCCGCGCTTGTTTTTTGTTTTGTTTTGTTTTTTGTTTTTTAATTGGTTATTTATGCCACTTTTGTGAAATTGGCCGTGACGACTTCATAATGAGCTGGCATTACTCACGCATTTACCCATTATTTTTGTAATGGCTGGAGCATGCTGTTTTTTTCTTTTATCGAGGAACAAATTGGCAATAAGAGAGCACTACATTTTCCCGTATATTTTGTTTGATTGTGGTAAAGTGGTCGTGCTGGCTTAACAGACGCGCGTCCACCGGGCAGCTGCGACGACAAAGTGGGGCAGCGGACAGTCAATCGGGAACAATGAGCAGGACTCGATACAAGGCGTTTATTGTGCGGGCCACACGGCTTCATGGATTTATTCGTTGTTTATCGGCGAGCACGCGCTCTCGAGAGGTCTCATCGGAAGAGCCGATCCGCTCGACGTTCCTGCTCTTCCTCTCGTTTTGCTTATTTTCTTCTTCTTCTTCTTTTTTTTTTTTTTTAAGAGCCTCCGAGAGCTCTCGATTCGAGTGCGTCGCCTCCTTACGCGCGGTTTCTTAGCCCGTCGAGTGGAAACGAAGGAGATTCGCCGATTGCCGCGCCCGGAGAGGGCCGTGATCATCGCCTAGAAATTCCTCCGTTGTTTATCCGATCCAGTTTCGCCCGACGAGGAGGACTCTTCCTGGAACACCCAATCACCCGCGGTGGGCTTAAGGTGATATGAAAGAGTCATTCTATGTATAATATGTGTATATATACACATATATATATACACACATATATATACACATATATATATATACACACATATATATATACACATATATATATATACACATATATATATGTCGTAAAAATATTTATAAAACTTTTCTCCAAACTGGGTACACCGAATCATTTGAAACATTAACACGTGATTATCGAGGCCCTAAGGAAGAGCGTAATGCTCGTGAAATTCCATTTGTCACAAAAAAAACGGACACCCAGGAGGTTTCAATTTTTTAATATGTTTACAGATATTTTTAAAATTTGTTATAAAAACCTAAATATTATGGGTGTCAAGGCCTCCTTTGCAGCCTCTACATTCACGTTGTAAAGTTTGAAAGAACTCGGTACACCCAGTTAGGAGAAAAGTTTCGTAATGATTTATTTCGCAGATGCCACTTTCACATCCCCTTAATGTCCGAGATTTAATTTCGTTTTTTAAGGAACGCACGCTCTCGTGTCCCCGACGAAACTCTTGCCCAGGTTAATGGCGCGGGTGTAATCCGCGTGTATGGTGCACCAACGATTTTCTATACTGGGTACCTGGCCCTTTATTTTCCCGGCGTCGCGGCGGTTGAAAGGCGACGCCTTAACACGTGCGAGTTATTTTCTGCCGCCCCCGGAAATATTACTTCCTCGGAGCACCGACCCGAGCCCGGTTCCTTCCTCTAGGTCCCGGTGTTTAGTTTTGGGATTACATGGTGGGCGTAGGAAAATCGGCGGAATTTTTTTGCAATTCTTCATTTTAAGGAAAGAGGGAGAAATATTGGGGGGGCACTTTGTTTTACGCGCGTCAAGGGACGTGCATCTTTTGTTTTTCTTTTTCTACGCAATGGCGACCATGGTACAGATGGGACGTTGGAACTAAAGACTGGTGATTAAACTCAAAAACTCGCGTCTTTGATGAGCTTCCTTCCTGGCGTGATCCTTTTAAATTTATTCATCGCGGACCGCGGGTTTTCGCGCGGCTGTCGCAGCGG